TTTCAGAGGGCTGTGCCCATGTTTTTTGTCTACAAATAGCAAATCCACCCTCAGCAACTCTTTTTGGGTGTTTAGGACCCACTCACTTCTGTTCTGTAGAATGGAAATCTGAACTACTGCTGGGAGTGGGAGAAGGAAGAAGAGACAGTCACTCACGACAAAGTCTCATGATAGCAAAACAGTCTTTGAGTTAATAAATACACTCTACAAAAGCAAAGCAAAACCAAGACAAACTATGGAGTGGGTGGTCCCAGCTCTGCTGCACTCACAAGACTGCTCACTCACAGAATTGTGACCAATCTCTGCAGCAGAGGCACAGCTGAGGAACAGCAGGAGGAGAACAGCAACACCTGACTGAACTGTCACACACAGGCACCACAGCCCAGGTCAGCAGGGTAGGATGATCTCACATCCCTTGGGACCACTGATTCACACTCTCACCTCAATCCCAATCAGTCACAAATACAACACTAACACATCCTCAGAAAGTGTTATTTAGCCTGGGTTTCCCCAGCACTCAATGCTCTGTCCTCACAAGGTCACAAAATCACAGTGCCACTTGGCTAAGAAAAACAATCAGCACACCCCAAAAATATTCATGGGATGTTGCACAGGAACTGCAGGCTTCAGGGATCTGCTCTCTTCCACCTTGGCACAGAGACCTGGGCTTAATACAGGCCCCTCTGCTCTGCAGCAAGGACTCCCACCAACATCCCAGCTCTAAAAAGGACAGTCCTCACTCATACTGCTGTGAGTGAATGGCAACCACTGGAGACAGGGAATTGCAGAAGGCAGCAAAAGAAGTGAGGCCATGAATTTGGCTCCACTGCACTCAGGGAAGCAGTTGCCACTCAGCACCAGGACCAGCAGAAAGGAAAGCTGGATTTGCATGGCTTTTCTGCCTGTCCAAGCCAAACACAGAGACTGCAGCCTGGGAACAGGAGAAAGGAGAAGCATGTCTGCATCTCAGAAAGACACATATTAAAGTGCTGCTCCAGCCTTGCTGTTTACACTCACACCAGAATAATTAGAGCAGTCACTGTTAAATAGCTAACAACTTCACCATCAATTCTCTGAACAATACTGAAGAATTCATCATGACATTTCACAGCCACCACTCTGCAGAAACACTGAAATCACCCCAGACACAAGCAGCCTAAATTAATCCCACACAGACTCTAGCAAAAACAACTACAACTATTTCAGCTGTACTCACCCAAAATTAATGCCTTCCCAGGGCAGCAATCCAAAAGAAATAAGTCCTCAACAAACCACACCTTATGCACAAAGCATGACTCAGCTCATGCAGTGGGTGCCATCAAGAAATAAAATACAAGGGTTCATACTCAGCCAGGTTCACTCCCCAAACCAGCAGCTTTGTGGGATATGAAGCTCCCAGCTGCTGTGGGACAGCCCTCCCTTTCAGCTGCCAGCTTCAGCCCACAGAGAAGCTGTGTCATCAAAAGTGTTTGGGCTTTCAGAACTTCCCCATCCAGGGATACCAGCACCTGAAAACAACAAACACAATCTCTCCTGTGTCAGGTACTTGACAGATATGATAGTTGTGCTTCCCCCTCTGTTTATATCCATATCACTTGTGCCAAAAATATAAAATAAAGTGAATATCTAATCTATAAAATAGGTATGAATATATAAAATATGTAATAAAACTGAAGAGTGCAATGAAGCATGAAAATCTTTCTAAAAACTTAAACCAGTAGAAGGGACCAACAAATCCAGGCTGCAAATTCCTAAGCAAGTTAGAACTGCAAGTTCTGCATATCTTGACTGCATCTCAGCATCAATGACACAGTCTATAAAATCTTTCTCTGTGATTAAGGACTCAGTCTGTAAAGTCACCAACTGTGGCCAAATACACAAGCCTGAGAACCACCCCTGTTTCTGAAGGGCTGGAACACATGTACTCACACCTCACCCACCACCACAAATCAACAGCCACCCTCCCACTCATGGATAAAAATCACTGTGGCTCCTTCCCACCACACCATCTTTCAGATTAGTATCCTTCTCCAGTTTATCAGTTCTTAGGATCTGCTCTCTTTAGAAGGTTTCAGACACTTTTCTCCAACCATGCTAAGCTTAATCAGTGTCTTAATTAAAATGACATGCGTGACTACATGGCAGTTTTTGGTATCATTCATTTACCAGCTGTACCTGATACTTTATCCATGACAAATATCCCTAACCAATCTTCAGACCTGCCTCGATGACTGCATTATGTCAACAATTGCTTTGCACACTTCAACCATTCCCACAGCCAGCCACACACATTCCTTTTTCAACCACTTATTTTTGGTGGCTGGGTCACCTTCCTCCATGCTGGATGTTTGCTTCTTAAAGCAAGTGACATCACATGCCCCCCACCCCCCAAAAAAATGGAAAACAAATATTGAAAATCAGAGGAGCAACAATGAAGACAAAGACAGAAGAGGAAGAATTTTCACAAGGGTTACTGAATACCTGGTTGACCTCAGAGGGTTCTGCTTTGCTGCAGTTTGAGACACAAGCCAAGCATATTTTATCTCATACCTACTCTGTACTTGGCTTTTAGGCTGACAGCTCAGGCCTTGCTTTCATCCCAAAGATGAAGGGGTAACTTGCTTCCTTGCTCTTTCTCAGCAAAGGGATGGCTCAGCTTCCTGAGCCTCCCTCTCCACCTGCCAAGCTGCAGCAGAAAGTAGCAGAAAGCACCTACCAGAGGCTGTGCAGGAGAAGTCTCCCCCCACCCCAAGTGAGAGGTAAAAGCCCACCCAAAAATCATATTTCTCCATCCTCCTTCCTATTCAGGAGAGCTGCTGCTATGGCCTGATGTTGCCCAAAGCTGGGCTCTGCTGCTGACTCCACACAAACCACTGCACCTACTTGTGTTGCTTCACTCAGCATCCCCACAGGGCCCTGGGACCGAGGGAGATCTCTCACACAGGCAGAACCTGCCTCCCCCTACCCAGCATTTGTCAGGGCTTTGAGCAGCTGAGCAGACCCATCAACAGTGCACCTGCCCATCATCCACCTGTGCAATAGGGCACCAAAGGCTATCCTCTCTCCAGGCATCTTCCCAAGGCAGACTAACTGCATAAGTTGATTTCTCATCCTACCAAACTGCCTTCCACAGCTCCAGCACTGACAAAATCCTCACACCGAGCTCTTCACCAACACACATCCCTTCTCCACTAGCTTGGTGTGCCAGGATTTATCCTCTCTGCCCCTCGGCCAGGCAGATACCTCCTTTGGAGACCAAAGCCAACATGCAAGAAGCCATCCAGCAACCTAAGCCTTTTCTTGAAGCCTCTTAGAAAAGAAGTTTCTCTTTCCCCTGTCCTTAGGTAACAATGACCCTATAAAGGCTCTAAGGTCAGCACTGACATTGAAGAGAAGATTTGGCTTTCAGACACAACTGTTCTTTCCACAGTTCATCAGAAAGTGGCACAAACAGGGTTAAAACTGCCTTCAGTAACATCAGGGAACAAATAGCAAAAAGAGATGCTCCACTCTGCAAGCAGAGCCTTGGCTAAAGCACAGTGACACAGCACAGTGTCACCTCCTCACACCCAGCCAAGGTCTGAAACACAGAAGGTTTGTCGTGACCACGGCCTAAGTAGTGCTTCTTACTCCAGCAAGGAGAACTCTGTGACATCCTTCCAGACATCCCCTCTGCTGCAGGCTGAGCACATTCCTACTGCAGCCACCCCATAAAGAGCCCAACAGGGGAAGGGAAATCCTACAACCTTCCCAGCCAAAGAAAAGCTTAGCCTTGAAAGTCTAGCTAGTGCAAGGACAATTAATTGTATCAAGCAAAGACATTTAGGGTTTAATGAACACATTAATTAGAGAGCACAGAGCAGCAGCACAGGCTTTGAAAGCCATGGCAGAAGTACAGCATCTTCTGGCTGTATGGAGTGAAGGGGAAGCTCACTGCTCTGAGGCAATGTCAGGACAGAGCTGCCCCCTTGCAGCTCTGCCCACCTCCTCTGAGCCAGGAGCTGTCCTGGAGCACTCACACATACCCTACTCCAACCCATAAGAGCCATGCCAAACTCTTGGAGAAATAGCTGGGGACAGCTCCAGACAGAAGGAACTTCACACCAGCCAACACAGCTTCCCTTAAGGAAAGAAATCTGTTGGGACCCAGTGGCCTGGCATCCATTGTGACTTAAAGCCCAGCCTTCAGACCGTATCAACCCATGACATGCCTGAACTCCTTGCTGGAATGATAAGAGCCTGGTGCTTAACTCTGGTTGCTAAGATCTGACCTTCTCCAAGCAAAAGCCGAGGGAACAAACCCAGGAAAGCAAATTTATTGCTCTGCCTGGAGTTTGATCCCATTCACACCAGGCACCCCAGCCCAAGCACAGGGCTAACAGCAAACCATGCACAGGACAGGCTGGAGCACAGCCCCAGCACACTGGCTTTGGTTTTTCTCTTCAAGCAACTGAGATAGCGGCTCTCTGCTCCCCTTATCCAGTTTCAAAAGCAACACTTCAAAGCCATCCCATGTCAAACTCCAGAACAAACTGAAGCTGCCAGAGATGCCTCACAGGGAGGAAGTTAACACATGATGGGAAGATTAATGTGGAATTGCAGACTACTGTAAACAGAAAAGCAACAGCTTCCTATAAACAAAACCTTTTCCATTAAGTTACAACTACAACAGAGCAGTAATTTTACCTCCGTCAGAACAGCTGAAGAAAGTGGTATCATCGCAGGATCAGCAGTTTTCCTCGTTCACAGCACACGGGCCGTAGGGAGCTGCAGGTTATTGTGCCTCAGAGCCAAGGTAAGCACAGAGGGAGATAAGCTCCTCTCATGCCAGCCTGGCTGCCAGGTGCGTGCTCCGAGACCCGGCCAGGGCAGGACAGCTCAGGCCACGGCACCGACCCACGACAAAACCCAAACTTTGAGGAGCTCAGGCTGATCCCAGGGGCAGCAAGGAGGGTTAGGAAGCCGTGACAAACCTGCACGGAGCTCACCGCACTTCTTACCTTCTTCTCTGCCCCCTCGAGGAAAGGGCGAGAGACGGCTGGCACGGCTCAAACTGCTCTAAACCCCGGCTTTCAGAGGCATTTTATTTTTCAGCCCGGTAAAATCATCACCTCCGGAGCTGCAGCTGCCGGGCGCATCCCCGGCCGCGCCGCGCCGCGCCGGCGACTCCCGCAGTTCGGGGGATGCGGCGGCCGCCTGGATCCCACCCGCGTCCCCTCCACCGACCCGCGGACCACTCGCCGCCGGCTGCCGGGGGGTTCGCGGCGCGGGGGTCTCCCGTTCGCGGGGGGCTCCGGTGCCGCTCACCTGCTGCCGCCGGGTCCCGCCCGCCCCGCGCGCCGCCGCCGTTCGCGCCGCCCGCCCCGCCCCGCATTGGCCGCGCGGGGCCGGCGCGCGCCGCACCCCGCCCCGCCCCGCCCGCGCCCGCGCCGCCCATTGGCCGGAGGCGGCCGCGCCTCCCGCGGCGCGCGCGCGCGTGGCCGTGAGGGAGATGAGGGGACGAGGCGAGGGGGGGGGCACGCGGCGAGGGGGCGCTGGGGTTCGGGGCAAAAAAAGCCCCCAAAAAGCCCAACCAAACAAACAAAAACAAAACAAAAACCCCAAAAACAAAACCAAAAAAAAACCCACTTTTCTTTTTTTTTTCCAGAAGTGCATCTGGGGTGCGGGCTTTTGGGTGAAAACATGGGGATTTTTTCCTAATCACACAATCACTCAAGTTGGGGGGGGGGGCACGCGCCGAGGGGGCGCTGGGGTTCGGGGCAAAAAAAGCCCCCAAAAATCCCAACCAAACAAACAAAAACAAAACAAAAACCCCAAAAACAAAACAAAAAAAAACACCCCACTTTTCTTTTTTTTTTCCAGAAGTGCATCTGGGGTGCGGGCTTTTGGGTGAAAACACGGGGATTTTTTCCTAATCACACAATCACTCAAGTTGGTGGGGGGGGCACGCGGCGAGGGGGCGCTGGGGTTCGGGGCAAAAAAAGCCCCCAAAATACCCAACCAAACAAACAAAAACAAAACAAAAACCCAAAACCAAAACAAACAAAAAAACCCCCCCACTTTTCTTTTTTTTTCCAGAAGTGCATCTGGGGTGCGAGCTTTTGGGTGAAAACACGGGGCTTTTTTCCTAATCACACAATCACTCAAGTTGGGAAAGACCTCTGAGATCGTCCAGTCCAGCCTGTGACAGAACAGAACATTCAGAGCCGCCTTCAGGGAAAATGACTCCGCCATCTCCCTGGGCAGCTCGCTCCGATGCCTAATCACCCTTTCTGAAGAAATTCTCCCTAAATACTCGTAACACGTATGGTCGGGGCAGGTGGCACTGCCATGGTGGGAGCCGAGGGACTCAGCGTGAGGAGCCAGGATCCCGGCTCACGGTGTCCCCTCATCCAGCCCCTGTCTCTAGAGGAGTAGCGCCCACCCTGACCAGGCACACTTGCTCAAGTCTTGCAGCAATGAAGAGAAATGCTGCGCACCAACTAATCCCACTGCTGTTCTTCCTACAAGCAGATACCCTCTTTGGTTTGACTCATATTTTGGCTTTATTTTCCCCTCCCATTCTCTTTTAACTTCTTGGCTTGTAGTGGACTCTACCCCTGAGTTGAGGGGTTCCCACCGCACCCAGCAGTGAAGTGTTTGCAGTGGGATTCTTGAAGATGTCGATTTTGTGACAAGTGACTCGTGGCAGGACTCACTGGGCTCTGCTGTGACTCCGCTCACAGTCAGGGTCCCCGCCAGGAATCTTGGATTTAGCCAGAGAGCTAAATGGATTAAATCCACATCCTGACTCAACCCACTGCAGACTGCTGCTCCGTCCTGCTGTGACAACAAGCAGATAGAAATGCCTGTGCCTGCTTCCAATGAGTCTCAAATAATCCTCTGCTTTGGAAACAAATTAATTCTTTACCATGGGTTTCATAACTCAAAATAACATATAATAATGCACCTTGTGGTTTACTACCAACTTTTTAATCTCAAAAAAGCTTCCCCTGTTGCCGCTGTATTGAGAGAAGTACCAAAATGTAATTAAGAGGCACTATTCATTAAAACAGCAAAGTCATCTTATAAGCCTGGCAAAGAACATATTTTTTTTTTAATTTGCTCATTCTGTGGGTATGTTTATTATAGTCAGCCATAGCCTGCTGCTATTTGCTATGTGCCTCCAAGTCTTACTTTTCCTGCAGAAATGTGCTTTGTCACCCTGGCTGGTCACAGGTAGCTGAGCAACTCTCTACAGATGAACAGGTCTATTCAGGGCTAATACCCTTTCACTTCCATCTGAAATATTTGTGCATTCTCTTTGCCAATTTTCAGTCAAAACCACTTGGAATTGAAATGTTATGTGGTTCAAATCTTGACTACTAAAGAGTTGCTGCATTCAGTGATCGATCCCTGTTAGAAAGCTACAAAGGGCTGTTTTCAGCTCATCACAGAGAAAACCCAGCAGCGATCTTCCATGAACAGCAAGTGCAGGGGCAGTGAAGGGCTCTTGGGGCAGGTGAACATCAGCATGATAACCAGTGACAGGATGGCAGATGCATTTTAGGATAGCCAAAACCATGCAGATGTGGCACTTAGGGACATGGTTTAGTGTCAGTGTTGGGTTTGTTGTTGGACTTGATCTCAGAGGTGTTTTCCAACCAAAATGATTCTGTGATTGTAACAGCACAGCAGAGAGCCCCTTCTCCTTGAATGTGCCCTTCCAAAGTGGCTGTTGTCTTCCAGCAGCTCTGGATATTAGCTAATGACACTGATTAGACATCATCTCAAGGCAACCAGCAGCCTGAGCTCCTGGGCTGTGTGTTTGCCTTGGTGGACTCTCAGGAAAAGTAAGACAAGCCCACGAGCAAAAGCAAAGCCTCCTCCCAGGCCTGAGTGAAAGCCCCAGCAACCTCCTTGGCTGGCTGGGAGTATGTGCCCACAACCAGGAATGTGCCTGTGCCTGTGGAGGGACTGTGCTGCTGTGGCTCCAGGGCATGAGAGATGCTCTGAAAGACCATAACGTGTAAGCCAAAACACTGACCTGTTTCACAGAGGCTTTCGATTCTATCAAGCAAGGCCTTGCTCATGCAGGGCCAACTCAGCTTCTCCAGAGCAATGAGCAAACCTTTCAGCCTCCTTCTCCTCCTGCCTTAATTCCTGCTGAGGAGGTTTTGCAAGGGTTTCAGAAGTCATTTGGACTGATTCATTTGGCTTTGAGATGTTTACGAGATGCTGGCTGTTTAGAAAATGCTGATATTTGTTCCCTAAGGATCTGCCTTCTTTAGCACCAGGCAGTTTAAATCAGCAGTGATGTCAGAAGCACACGTTAGCACCAGTATCAAGGTTTGAAACTATCAACTCTGGCAAAGACTGTGAGCACTTGATTTAATGAAATAACCTGGTTGGCTCAGCTCAGTCAGAACGTGCTGTTTCTTCCAGAAAAAAAAAAAAAACCAAAAAAAAACCCAAAAGAAATCACGTACCTCAGCTTCCCTTTTCATCATACACAGGTGATTACACTGCAGAGCAGTTGTAGCCAGTGGAAAGAGGGTCACAGAAAATGTCTCTATGATGCTTAGACCACAATGCCTATAACAATGCTAACATAAGACTTTGATATTTCTGTTCAATAGTGATTGAGAATGGCTGGTTGTTAACTGATTTTGCTTGGGTTTTTTTGGGCACAAGGACTGGGAATGTGTTTATTTAATCTGCCCTTGAGTTACAGTCATGAGGGGAAGAGCTTACATTTCCCTAGACATCTCACTAGTACATTTAGGTAAAAAAATATTTAAAGCCATCATTTTTTTAGGAAATCTCTTAGTGGTGCCCATAAAGCTGAGCAGGATCTGTGCTTGGTACTTGTGGGCAGAGCCCTGTTAACTGGAGCAATCCTGATTCACCCCTGCTTAGAAGCCCATCAGGTGACCAGGTTGTTGCTCTATTCAGAACCCATTTGGACAGTTTTGAATTTTATACTTTCAAAATAAGGCAATAAAACAATTAGAAACAAATAACAGAAGGAAGAGCTTCACCAAAGACAACCAAAGATTATAGTGTGGCATAATTAATACAGGGCTGGCAGCAGGGAAGATGGGCTGTAACAACTGCACTGTCCCTGGGAGAGTGGCTGCAGGCTGAGCTGCAGATGTCAAGTACTCAAATGGCCAAAGAAGATCCTTTTGCCACCCAGCACAGGCTGGCCTGAGAATGCCCAGCTGTGGGACAGAAGGAAATAAAAGCATCCTTCAGAGCTGGGAGGATATGCATGTTCCTGCCAGTCCTTCACTGAGTCAGCCAGAGGACTTATCCAACTGAAAACATGCTCCCACAACAAAAGAGAAAGGAAAATAGTGTAACCAGAAAGACAGGTGCTTTTTTAGGGAAAAATCCAAGGGTGTCCTAAGAGGAGAACTGGGTTAAAAATAACAGGGAGTCTGCTCTGCCAGAGAAAGAATGAGTGGGTTTAAAGATAGTAGAGGCTGCACAGGAAAGGAGTTATCAACTTCTTGAGTGTTACTCATTTTAATTTGCCTTGTCTGGAAGCACCAGGTGGAAATCAGGGCCTCATTGTGCTGGGAATTGAGCACAAACATAATGATTAAATGTTGCCAGCTCTGCAGAGATTGAAATGTAATTCTTCATCTCTGCAGAATCACTAACCATCATAATTATTACCAAATAACTTTTTCTCTAATTGCTCTTCTGGAATATCTGTGCTACTTGATTTTTTTCAAAATAACCTTGCCTGAGGGAGTGAAAAGATATATCTGTACAAGGTCCAACCTAGTAGCCTTTACAGATAACAAAGATGGTCAGAAGCAGAAAATTCTCACTACATTTAAATCCCTGATCAAAAATTATTTGCTTGTACCTTGGTTTCTGTTTCTATAAAATGTGAATAGTTACACTACACGCATTGCTTGCTTTTGTTGTCTAACACCCATGATCAAGGTTAGAGTCCTCTGTCAGATGTTTGGAGCACTGACATCATCACATACAAGGGCTTGTTACTGCCAATTGTAAAGAATAGGAATTCTTTCTTGTGTGTTTTCTGGGACAGTTCTTGAATTGCTGAAAGTTGCTTTTCTATTAATTAATAACTGTGTAAAAACCAAAATGCAATCCAACAAGGAGTTAAAAAAAAACCCCACAAACAACCCAACCCTCAACTGGCCACAGCATGAATGGGAAACAACACAGCACACTGTCATTGAAGGGGTTTTGACATGATGACCAAATCCCTTTGGGATTCTGTAACACTTCATCTGCTGCTCAGAGGTCAGAGAGAAGCAGGACACATTGGCCACATCATAACTGCTTCAAATGCAGTTGTTTTCTGGTCACAATGCAAAGAAATTCTTCTGTCTAAGAACAGTAAATTCTCCCCTAATCCTCAGAGCAAGATCAAGTCAAGGCAAGAGGACAGGAATATGATCCTGCTGGTCACCCACACTTCTCCACTGGGACTTGCAACACCAGGTGTCTTAACCAGTCAGCATTTCCATTTGTGAGGCTCTAGCTTTTAACTGTTGTGTCCTATCCTGCATTCAGTAGCTTCGTGTGAGTTTTGACAAACAGGAAGGCACTGGAGGGGGCTGGGAGCTGCAGTGCTGAAGCAGAGCATCTGTGCCAAGGAAGGCTCCTTAGGGGGCTGAACAGAGCAGCCCTTCCTCCTTGGTCTCCAATCTCTGACCACCACTTCCAGCAAAAGAAGGCCTGAAACAAGTGCCAAGGGAACAGGGGACCAGTGTAAAAATCTGACACTTTCTCAGTTTCCTCCAGACAGCCACTGCTCTGTTTGGCACCCACCTGGAAGCCACACAGCCTGGGCCCCCTGGCTTTGAGGAGGAGCTTGTTTAGGGGAAAGAATTAAAATTGCAATATCTTATTCTGCTGGTTGCAGAAATGATGAATGAAATGCAAAGCAAAAGATCCCCAAAGATTGTACATTTAAAGAAAACAAGTTAAAGAGATGAAAATAAATCCTTCCATGGATTTTAAAGCAGCCTTGGGACTTTCAGGGATTCCAGTTCAGAAGTTTAGAATAGCAACTAAAGGGAATAATTTACAAGTTGCCTTTTCCCTGATTTAATATTCTCCCTTTTAATTCTTCCTAGGAAAGAATAGGACTTCGTATTACAAGCAGCTTGAAAGATCAAGCAGAAACATCCCGCAGCTCTACCTGCAGCCTTGCATTTGATATTTTAAGTTTTGACCGGAGATTGACCCGGTGTAAGTGGGTGCTAAAGGTTACCTGAATGCTCTCGCTTCACTGGCTATGGAAAGTGGATTTTAACCAGTCTCTGTGAAACTGGTCTTGCAGTCCCCTCTGCTGGCAGCAGCTTGCTGAGGAGCTGCACCGTGGCACCACATGGGACCTGCTGGGGCCTCGATGGACGCTGCAGGAGATCCCCCAGCACCACTGAACAGGCACCGACTCCTCCAGAGACCTGGAAGCTTTCCCTTACCCTCTCTGCATCCTCAGTGTAAGCACCTGGCACCTCTGACACAGGGCAACTGGGTGAAAAAGTTATCCATGGATACCCTTACAAAAACCCACCTTGCCTGCGAAAGCTGAGGCATCCTGCTGAGAGCAGGTGACCTTACCCTGAGGAACACATGGCTTGATGGTATGGCTTGATATGTTTGTTGAGCTTATGACCAAATATCACCTGCACCTCTTTAAGGCACACATTCTTGTGTCCCTGAGAGCCTGGAGCAGTGCTCCTGCAGGCTCTGGCAGCATTACAGCCCTACAGCTTCTCCACCAACTCTGCCATGGCCGTTGGGATCCACTTTCAAAGAAACCAAAGCATCATTTTCCCCGGGGAGGTAAAAGCAGACATTCAGAGAGGGGCTATGCAGACAGTCAGTGTTGATGTGTCCTGGAGAATAGAACAGAACCAGCAGCACAGGGCAGGGTTGGCTCGCAGGGATGTGGGGTTTGAGCACAGCCCATGATGTGCTGCTGCACGTGATGGGTAATGCAAGTCTTCCAGCACAGAGGGGATGTTCAGTTCCCGGGTGCAAAGAGCTGTTCTGTGAGGCTGCTGCTGAGAAAGTCTTTCTGACCAGCTAACACTGACCAGTGTGGGCAGTGGAGGCAGAGCTGGCACAGGACAGTGGATGGCTGTGGCTGGCAGTGTGCCAGTGCTCCCTGCCAGCCAGCCTGTCTGAGGAGGAAACCCAAGTGACAACTCTGATAACAGCTCTGCTTGTGGCCAGAGGCCCAGGGGCCCTGCATGGGAGGGCAGTTTCTGAAGGAATCATCACTAAAGGGATTACTTTGTATGCATAAACCCTCCAGAAACCACTGCAAACACCATGCTCTGGGGCTAGCACAGGCACATAAAGGGATGTAGTAGAAAAACTAAAGGTTTATTTTTTTAATAAAATACATCCTTACAAAATAACCATTTTTCTCCCAGGCAGAAGGTTGGGCACGGTTCCTGCCAGCTCTCCTTCTTTCCCCTTCTCAATTTGGAACTGTCCAATGGTGCTTCTGGGGCAGAAGAGGCAGCTGTGCTCTTCCCAAGGTCTTCAGGTGCAAGTGGCCTGGCATGGCCCTGACACACCAGGCAGGCACAGTGCAAGCCCTTCTGAAGGGTCTGCAAGGGCAGCAGACCCAGTGCCCCGCAGCAGGGCTGGCAGAGGGCCCAAGATCCCTTAGTTTGACCCATCCACAGCATCATGGCATGTCCCACTACAGGCTGTGTGCTGGGCCAGCCAGCCCCTGCCTGGCTGCAGGGCACCACCTTCCCATCAGCTGGGTGCTGCTTCTGCTGCTCTTGGGGCTGGCCCAGGGAGGTGACGGGATGGCGACCGAGTTTTGAGAGAACAGGAGGAGGAAGAGGGGTGCAGGTTTGTCAGTCAGTGTGGATTCTGCTGAGAGAGAGGTGCTCAGTGATTTCTGGTGTCTTGGCCCCCAGTGCCCTTGTTCAAGAGATGCTGCCATCGAAGATGTGATGTCAGTCCCACATCCTGCATCCGCTGCTGCCCCATGCAATTGCTTATGCTGGGAAGTGCTGACCCCACGTTAGACACTACAGCCCACAGCTCAGGTCTCCTCCAAGCCTCCCTGGAGCCCTGCTGCCTTCCTGAAATCCTTCTCACAGACATTGGGATAGCCCCAAGACCTGTAGCCCTCATCCCTGACAGATGTATGCTAGCAGGGCTGGGGAAACACCACTCACCTCTCACTGTGTGTTGTCTGGCTTCTTTTCCTTCTTGTGCGACTTTGACTGGGGGTTAAATGAGAGAAAACAAGGATTCTTTTACAAACCTGCTCCTTTCTAATGCCAGGGAAGGTGTGACTGCAGTGACTCCTAAGCCCCAGTGTATATGCATATTTTCAGATGAATTTGGGGGGAACTGTTTTTGTGTGCTTTTAAAGACCATGAAACATTCCATTATCATAGAGATGTTCTCAAAGAACAGAAGAAGAGACATTTTCTAATTTGCTAAAGGACAGATCTGCCCCTGCTTCCATTAAAGCAATCCTAGTGTTACCAGATATTGGAATATCTGGGGTTAAAGGCAGAGAATAAAGTTATTAACAATGAGTCACACACAACATCTCAGTAATTTTGGAGGGAAGATTCATGGATCCCATTCTCCAACAGTCCCAAGGGCTCAGGAAGGCGCCTGGTTGCCCCTCAGCATGGATGTTTGTGTTACAGTGTCATTACTCATGCACACATCCACACACACCCCCGCAAGAGCCTCTGCAGGGCAGGCACTTGCTGTTACTTACAGGCTCCTGTTCTGCATATTTGTATTTCTTCTGCTTGTAATAGTCTCGTCCGTGGAGAAAATGCAGCAGGAGCAGGTCACAGAGTACAGAGGCCTTAAATCAAAGTGCAGTTAGGTTTGGAGTTGCTTTCCAAGCTCATCTGGACCACTGTTTTCAGTGGTTTTTCCCAGTTTCCCCCACAATTTAGGGTCACTTTTGCTTCATTCCACAACATGGCAGTTGATGAAGTCTCCTAAATATCCATTTAGGACAGAAGTGAAATGTGCTGTGTTCAAGAAGGAACAGAAATGAAATGTTTCCCCTTTAGGTAAGTGCAGAGCACAATGCTCTTTGAGCCATGCCCAAGTCTTTAACAACCATAACCAAATCAGACACTGGGTTTCTGTCCTCAATGAAATACTACCAATCACCTGAAGACTCTCCCTCAGTGCCAGCTCTAACTTGAAACTATCAGGACACCAAGACCTGCCAAGAGAGCCAGCCTTCCCTTCATCAGCAGGGCAGAATTCACATCAGCCAGAGACCAGCAGGAATCTATTTTCCTGAGCTGGCAAGGCAAGAGAGCACCTCCTTTCCCCCTTTTGCCTATCCTCTGATTTCCTGAGCAGTACTCAGTATATGACTGCAGCTCAAGGACACTTCCCACGGATGTCACAGGCAAGAAGAATAATTTGAGAGTCTCCATATAGAGGCTGGAAATATCTGAACTTACCACTCCAAAAATACCAATTCCAGAGCCAATTGTGGTCATGGTTGGGATGATGTCAAATTTGCCTGCCTGGATAAAGTCAGAGAAAATAAGTGATAAGTTACAGTCAGCCCAGGGGAAGAAAAAGGGATGCTCTAGCTGTAAAGTGGGACTCAGCAAAAGGGCCTTGCAGCAACCCAAACTGCAACCACAGCACACAGAGAAACAGGAGCTGGGAAAGCACTGGTCAAACAGAAAAATATTGCAGATTTGTTTTAGGCTGAAATAAATTAACTTACTTTTCTTCCTGTATGTTTAGTATTAAAAACCAAAACCAAGCAACCAAACAAAAGTATACACTTTGAATATTCTCCATGGGAACACAATGAGGAAAGCCTTCTCTCCCAGTAGGAATAAAAAGACAAAAAAGAAAAATGCAAATGTTCAGCTTTTGGAAATATCAGTAAAAGGTTTTGAGTTTCCACAGGTCCCCCCACTCCCATCACAAAATTTTTTACACAAAACCACTGATCAAGCCACAGATGAAAGATGTGACCTCTAAAACATGTTTTCCTCCTGTCTTCCCTTCCCCGGTATTCCCCAAGGGTTCCTGTGAGCAGGCCAGCACCCAAGGAAACATTCACAGCAGTTTTCCTGATCCCACAGAACCCTGGAGCTGTGTTACAGAGCTGGTACCTTCCCAAGGATATGGCACTGCTGTCCCAGGGGTCCAGGGAATCCACCCTTACCTTGCCATTCACCAGAATGTCGAGCCGGATCCCAAACACCTTGTAGAGTGTCCTCTTTTCCATCCCATCTTCTTTGTAGTATTTGGCATATCTGTGCAATTGGATGGCAAGTGTTAATGTTCTGCCAGGGGGTCTGACAGCCCCTGCAACACTAGAGCATCAGGATTTTGGACAAAGATCTGGGAATGTGCTATCACAGACCTGCTCCTGACCTTCTCCTTAAACCCCCTGAAGGAGCTGGGCTGTTGGCACCTCTCCTCTCTGTGCCTCAGTTTTCCTGCCTGCAGGTTCCAGCTCCTGCTCATGCTGTTTGATCTGATGTCCCCAAGTTTTGTGTGCAGCAGACAGCGAAGCACTAGTGACAGAGTCACACAGAGCAGAGGATAGAGAATATGTGAGATGATCCTGCGCCATCTCCAGTCTTTCAAGGGGCTTCCCAAAAGCTCAGCCATGCAGGAGAGCCTGCAAGGGGGAGGAAATGGAAAGGAAATGGGGCAATTTTGAAGCCAAGGGGTGTATTATCCCTTTTCTCATGCCGTTTAAAAGAGCCCTGGTACTGCTGCCTGGCCCTGCAAAGGTAGTGAGTATTTTGAAGGACAGTCTCTGGCCTTCCACCATCTCTTGAGTGGGAACCTGGAAGCTGTCACCTCTGAATTACACTTGGAGAATTAGCAGGTGTTTCCTTACCTGAAGTTGAACCCTGGTGAAACATTGCTGTCGTCATTGTAAAGGCCGTGGAACTGGTAAATGGGTTTGCAGTACTGCAGGGGCCAGTCGAGGTCACAGTTCCAGTCTATGGTGATGCCCACCACTCCACCCTGCAGCCAAGAGGGGATTCACAAGGTTGCCCCTCCTTGAACCTGGCCCACACAGAGAAATGCTCTCCCTTCTCATACATGTTCTGTCTCGATGCCATGAGGTGTCCTGGCTCTCCAGGTGCACAGACCCCACTGCTGCCTCAGCCTTCTTGAGCAGCCCTGGCTTTGTGGCCTGTACATAACCCCTTGCAGAGGCTCTTGTTTCTGTCCTGAGTGCTGGATACACAAATAAATTCATGCCCTCTTGTTCCTAATCAGAATCCTGTGCCCAAGACATGGTCCTGAGAAACAGTGCTCACCCCAGATGCCTCCTGGTCCTCATGAGACAGCCTTCCCTTGCCTTGAGTATGCCCAAGAGATTGCTCAGGAAATGAAGGAGTCCCTCCTCCCTTCTGAGTTCACTCCAGGCTGTAAATGGCTGTGCCCCAGAGGCTTGTATTTTTGCACCTTTCATATATAGAATCTTAGAATGGTTTGGGTTGGAATGGACCATAAAGACCATCTTGTACCAAACCCTGCCACGGGCAGGGACACCTTCCACTAGACCAATTTTCTCCAGGTCCTGTCCAACCTGGCCAGGAATGGGGCAGCCATAGCTTTTCTGGGCCATCTGATCCAATCCCTGCAATAAATGTTCATATATGCAAGCCTCTCTGATTTAATTCAGTGCCTGGCAAAGTTATCCCAAGGTTTTGCAGCGCAAAGATAGCACATATTCCCACACACCAGCCTGAGGAATGTTAGGCAAAGCTGCATTTTGGAGCCAGGGGAAAGGCTGCAGTTAGCACTGTGCAATGACCAATATTTGACCATCTAGCTGGGATTTCCAAGCTCAATCAGATGGTATTTGGCCACACAGATCTAGTTATTCACTGCTCAAATTAAAACAAGCTGAAGCCTGGGATTTACTGCCAGTGGGTCAAATCTTCTCAAGAGTTTCCAAGAAAAATGTAAATATTAGGCCATGTCCAAGGAGATTCATAATCTTCATGAGATAATTCTGACACTCTTGTTTTCTCAAGAATTCTTCATAAAACCATCTTAAAACCATCTTCATAAAATCATCTTAACAACTGGGGATGATTGCACTGTTGAGTGTCTCTCTCCCATCAACAGCAAGGAACATAATTTGAAATTGAAGTACCTTAACAGCCAGGAAGGTAAAATTCTGACCCGATTCCTTCACTATGTATCCCAATTCAAACACAGGACATAAGGAATCCGTGACTTTGTGATAGGTGCATTTCTTCAGGTACTGCTTGGTAACGCTCTCAACCAAGTTGCGCCTGTGAATGAAAAAGAGTGAGAAAAATTCTCAGTAGCACAATAATCTGGGGGGTAAAAAACCTCTGTAAGTCCTTTGCCCAGTCACTCTCCCATTCACATGCCACTTGTCCATGGGTTCTGCTGGGCAATGTTCTGAGCTCCAGCAATTCTTATCTGGGACACCTCATGGATCGTGAGTGTATCCCACACCTTTTACACTTAGCTGGAGTTTTCTATCTCCTACAGCAAGGGTTAAAAGGAAAGGGCAACTTCTTGCCTTCCATCCCACTCTGCTTTTTTGCCCAAAAACACTTTGTCTGGGAAGCCTGTGGTTTTGTAAGACTTGTGCCTTGCTCAGACTGGTCCCAACGCTGATGCTCAGGAGCAAATTGTCAGCAGTGATCAAAGGCAGGAAGTTTCTCCACAGCAGCCAGCTCGGCCACCCTCACTGCCAGGACCTGCTCCCTCTCTGGGTCCTCTTCAGCCTGTCCTCGCTTGGGCCACCTCTCCTTGCAGCTGGGGGGATCCCCTCTCCCAGCCACCTCTTGGGAGGTGTGAGGTCAGCCCAGGACTTTGCCAAGCATGCCAGCTGCCAGGACATTTAACCTTGGCTGCAGCACAGGGACGGGATCAACTTAGAGAGAAGAATTCGCTGTCTACAGCACAAATAGCTTCTGTTAATTTGTTCCAAATCAGATATATAGTCAGTGCCATCACAAATCCTCTTACAAGTGTGCCTTCAGCCAACAGCATTTCCCCCAGTGCTGCCAGGACCATTTTGCTGAAACAGATGGGATCTGTGATATTAAGGGGGACTCTGGGGCACCAAGCTTATCCTGGCCCTGTGGTATCTTAATGTTTTCTTCAGAGAAGAAAAAAGAAAAATTAGAGTAACTGATTTGTGAGAGTAACTCAGGAGAGGTTAATTCCAGACATCTTTCTAGTAACTACAGCTACCATCTGAGGTGGGACAGATTTGGGAGGGAAATGTCTCAGTTCCTATGAGCTAATATGGGGTTCAGTGCACCAGTTAGAGTGGTCCTGGGATCACTGATGAGGTAGGCAATCCTCTATACCAAGCTGCACCCATGGTTTCCTCTGAGGGACACAGCTGGAGGAACTGACCAGGAGCCATCCCCTCAAACCTCTCCTTACCTGGACACCTTGAACTCAGGGAAGGTGATACTGTTCTTGATGAACAAGGTGAACCTCTCTGCTTCTGACAGCAGGGCAGGGCTGAAAAACACAAGTGTAGACATATGTCCATCACTTGGCTCTCCAGGCTCTAGAGAAAGCTCCATTTGGTGTAAATTCACCCAAACTGAGACAAACAGACCCAGAAAACTGGTGGTCTCATCCCTTCCCTTTCTGGTCTTTCACAAAACAGGCTGTCCTGGCCACATCCCATAGAGGCCCAATTTGGTCTGCTTCACACCAAGTGCAGCTGGGGTGGGAAAAAGGGCAACAACATCATTCCTCACCTGGGAACATGGTAATCAACTTCAACAGGGCACCAGCCAAAGATCTCACAGGTCTTCACAGTGCTGTTGAAGTGTACACACTTGCCAGTCATGAGCCCTGTGGGGGAGACAGCTGCTCACACCCTGGATCCTGTGAAATCTCAGCCTCATGCTGGGATGGATGGGATCTGGTTGGGGCTTCAGCTCTGCCAAGGGCATTCAAGACCCAAAATGCTCAGGGCTTTGGCACCTTTCTAAAACAGGAAATTAATGGTGGCCTATTAGCTCAGGGCAGTGGTTTCTCTTACAGTGCTGTACAGGGGAGCAACTGGGGATTTTTTTTGTTAAAACACACCTAAGAAAATGCTGAGCTGATAAGAGAACAACAGTTTGGGTGAAATGGCTTAGTCCTGATTAACCTTTTATTAGCTGAGCTGTTTGCAGTTCAGGTATCTTTCAAAACAGCAGAGTTGGACCAGCCTACATGGGCCCTTCCAACCAGCATATCAGAGGTTTTCCTGTTCAAAGCAGGTCCCAGCCAGGTGACATCCCAGCCAGGCAGCTTCTCTCGGGGTTGTCTCACCAGAAACCCCAGGGCTGTGTGCCATACCTTGTCCCTGACGGCTGTATTTCCCCTTGCTGCAGTCGCTGTCCTGTGTGCACAGCCCGGCATCTGGCAGCTGTGGGGGGAAAGCAGCCACCTCTTAGCACCCCACCCTGCAGCTTCAATCCCCTGTCCCTCTTGCCTAACCAGACAGCATTTTTCTTGAGAGATACACTGCTTAGCTGCAGCCAGAGCCTTGTTCATACACTGCTTCCCAACCAAGGTTGTCCAGATAAAGCAGGAAAAAAGGGGTGATTTATTCACTCCAGGCAGATGCTTTCATTTAAGCCTCAAGTCTGCTCTGCTTGATCATCTCAAAGGGAAGAAAACTTAAATGGATGCCACCTGTTTTTCAGCAGAATAAAAGTCTTCACATACCACACAGGAGTCAGGAACAATAGTATGGGGCTGGGCTCTGGCTTTTACTAAACCTCCTAATGTTAGAAAAAGTCTTTCCCCAGCGATACTACCAGAATTCCCCTGAATTACGGAAGCTTAGTCCACTGAAGGAAGCCGGTGTGTTTACCTCTGGGCAGGTTCCTTGTTTCTGTCCAGGAGTGACAATGAAGTTGGTCATCACCACGAATGAGTTGTCCCCCTGTGAAGACACAGCCAACGAGCTCACAGCCAGCACAGGGTCTCCTCTGTGAGGAGCTGCTCCCTGGGTGGGGATCTGCAGTGCCACCAGCCCTAGGGACAGTGGAGGATCCTGCTTGCTGCCTGAGATACTGCTCCAGAGGCACTGGAGGAACCTTGATCCTTTTGGAGGCAGCCCCAAATGTGCCTCCTCAGCCATAGTGGGTCCCAAGTACAAATGCTCCCCAGGGAGAACCTGGGCAGAGGTTTGTGACAGGAGCAGCCTCCTTTCCTCCACAGGGACACCCTGTCATGGTTAGCCCCATGGAAAGCCTATGCCAAGGACCCATCTGCACCCCAGCACATGAGGAACAGCAGCCACTGGGACAAAAGCAAACCCCTAACCCACCCACTGTCACTCCTTACCTGGGGTGGGAAAACGTAGTCCACCACATCCCAGATGTGAGGACCCAGGACACTCTCGTTGGTCAGTGTCAGCCCTTTCAACTTCACTGAGACCGAGCTGACGATGCTGTCCTGAGACTGGTAGCCCTTCTCGTAGAGGAACACCCACCTGGACAGGGAAAAGTGTCAGGGTGAGCATGGCCACCAGCACTCCTCCACTGGCCCAATTCCTTGCACAGACCTGTGGACTGGGGCTTTTTCTACCAAGTCTCACTTGAGGAATCATTTGTCAAGTTTCTTCCCACTGGAGGAGGGACATGTTGGTGAAACTTCCTACCCCTCTGCCTGATGCATGTGGTAGTTGCAGGACTCGACCTTCATGCCAGGATGGTGTGTTTTGGGGACTGGGACACATTTTGTGGCTGAGGGTGTGTGATGGCAAGTGGAGCACAGTAGCCATCAGTCATTTAGGGTTAAAGACTATGGCAAGTTTGCAGCTTGCTGGTCTCAATGACCTACCCCAACACTCCTGATCTCCTGATCCACTGCAGAGGAACTCTCCAAAACCCAATGCCTCCAAGGCCAACACAGAGCCGAGGCTGGACACGGTTCACATCCAGAGCCTGAGTTCCCCATCCAGCAAAGGGAATGTGGAGCAATGTCCCTGTGTTCAAGAGGGCTGCAGGAGCAGGGTTAGGGACACTGCTGTGGCCAGAACAGGGCTCTGCCTGCCTTTCCCAGCCCATCACACAGCCATTAGGGCAGGCTTCTGACACTATTTAACCTACAGCATAAACAAGCTGCCGCTGGATTAACTCTGACTCAGGGAGACTATAAACATGGGCAAGCAACCATTTCGGGTAGCGCTCCCGGCGCCGCGGAGCATTCTCGGCACTAAAAAAGGAGCGATCTGGATTTTGTCCCCACTGCCACAGGCATCGGTCCCGCTGGCTGTGACAGAGGCAGCAGGCTCCCCATGGGACAGCCCATGACACCAGCCCGGTGTGTCAACCTCGCCTGTGACACCTGGCTGATGGGCAGAGGGGAAAATGGAGAATGCCAGGTGCTGTCTGGAGGTTTTCTGTTTGGTGCTGGACCTTGTGAGGACTTCTCGGAGAGGGAGCTTTTTAGCTTGCAGCCACATCAGCATCCTGGGACTGAGGGCAAGAGGACCTCAGGGACAGCATCTGCTCCAGTGCCTGGGGATGGGAGCAGAAATTCAGCACTGCTGCCACCCCAGATGGGAAACACAGCTCCAACATCTTCCTCCAAGGCAGAAGACCATACTGGGTTACACTGGTTACAGTGGGCATCTTCTCCCATGCCCTCGGGGCTGCAGGAGGTTGTGAACTGGGCAGCAGCAGGGGCAAAACCTTTCCCTAGATCAGCCTCCAGCACAGACTCTGCTGCTGACCTTATCCCCCTCTGGCAGAGCTGACTACAGGCACACAGGACTGGGCAACCCCACCTCCCCTGTGGCAAAACAAACAAAACCATCCCCTGTGAGGCTGTAAATGCTGCAGCAAGTCCTGTCCAGGTGGTAAAAGTCCCCTGGTGTCACTCCCTGACGTGGCAGAGCCACCAAGCCCTCTTCCCTTGCTGGCCTCATCCTGTGGCTCAGCCTGCAGCTCCTTGCATGCAAGATTTCGGGAAGCGAAACCCAGAAAGCACCCAGCATCTCCTGGGCAGCAGCAATACCACCTTATCACAGTCATCACAGGCAAAAGAACTGCTCCCCAGGGGTGACATGGGGTCTCACAGGGGGGCTGGCATGCACTGATGGCACTACCCATGTCCTTCCAGCAGAGTCGTGCGTTGGAACACATTTCCATGAGCATCCCATGCCTGCTATGAAGGGAGGACAAAAGCTGGGAGAATGGTAAGGGAATTCACATTTGACTGCCAAATTTGCTTTCAAAGGACAGGCTTTGCAGTTTGGTGAGGGCAGCGAACTGGGGGCAGTGTTGTGGGCAGAGAACTGGGAGTAGTGCTGTGGGAAGGGAGCTGGGGGTGCTGCTGTCAGCAGTGAGGGGAAGCCAGGGGCTGGTGGGGCTGGGGGCACCTGCAATCATAGGCAGGCCCTTGCTAGAGGAGCCTGATCTCAACAAACCAGGAAAAACTTGGGAATTACAGCAACTTCATGCCAGATTCCTCTCCCCTGCCACTGGCTGTCACCGCCTGGCTGGTTCTCTTCCTGCTCCTTCCTGGTTGCCTGTCTCAGTTTAGCCAAGTTGCTTAAGCCACGTTTCCTTAGCTGCTCTGCACAACCATCTGTGCCAGTTCCCCATCCACAGGAGCAGCTGCCCCCTGCCACATTTGGGACTGGAGCCCTGGGACATCACAGGTTCAGTCCTTAGCAAAAACAAAGCTGCTTCCCATAACACCAGTGCAAACCTCTTTGCAACAGAGCAACCTTGAGACCTCGGTTGCAGTTTTGCATGAGGATTACCCTTGGGAGTCAAAGTGCTGGTGAGCAGGGTGGGACCAACGTGGGGGACCAATGTGGGGGTTCCACACTGATCCTCTGGGAAGGGTTTTACCCCTTCCAGGGAGTCTGTGCTAAAGGGAGACATGGGCATCCCTGCTCCCCACAGCGACTTGCTTGCACTGAAGCCTGGGAGCCGCTGCCTTTCCTTTGCACCATGCACCACAAAAATTCCTAGATTTTCCAATTCATGGCCAGACATCCTCTTTCCTTTCAAACATCCTGCCCTGGGGCCCTTCCCCATGAAAGGGTGCTGGTCTCCTGATAGGGCTGAGCCCACAGCAGCCATGGGGCCACAGCAAAGGCTCACCAACCATCACATCCCAAAGCATCGTCCCACACTGAGGGGACAGGCACAGAGTGACTGGAGCAGGAGCAGCAGCCCCAGGGCACCTGAGGACACACATCCTCACCCGGTTCTGATCCTGCCTGCTCCACTCACTGCCTTTTTTAAGCAGTTCCCCTTGCTTTTGGAGCTGCCTCCCAGAAGCAAATAAGACCAGGAATTTTGGAGCCAAGCTGTGTCTCGGCCGCAGCGTCAGAGCGGTGAACAGGGAGATTTATGGCCCTGTCTTGAGCCACTTGGGTCTCACAAATCACTGCACTGGCCCCACATGCCTCTTATTTAATATAAATGAAAATAAAAATAACAACAGATTCTCAGGCCACCATCCAGCAGCTGGAGCAGGATCTGGATTCTCTTCAGTGAGAAGACGGGGCCCTGGTGTGCGGAGCAGGGCTGGGCAGGGATGAGCCTCCAGCCTGGATATACAGTAGCTTCTGGGGAGGATATGGGGACTAAATCCATCTAAAAGAGCCATGGAGGTACACTGGGCTGCACGGGAGCAGCCACAACCAGAGGGATGTGAAGCTATTAGCAATAACCCCCTGCGCTGCGATACTGGGGATATAGAAACTCCTCTCCCTCCACTGCTTTTTTACCCAGTGGCAAAGCATTAATTTTGGGGAAAGCAGGTGCTGGGGAGCCTTACCCGATGATGTACGCCAGGACGATGAGCTGGATCAGCCGGAAGGTCAGTCCCACCTTCTTGTTCCTCACCAGCACCATCCGAGGGGTGTCATACTCGAAGAGGAAGGAAGACACCTTGTCCATGCACTTCTGCCCCATGGCTGTGCCAGGGCTGTGCCGCTGCCTCCCGGCTCTTCACTGCTCCGTGGGCTGGGCCGTGCCCGCCGCCGCTCCGGCAGCTCCTCTGCTTGCAGATTAAAAAAACAAAATAAGAATGCTATCGGCGTGGCTCTGTGCACATCTGGGCTGTCGGGTTTCCTCCTCTGCGCAGGGATGAGGCTTCCTCTTCCTATAAGCTCTGGGCTGAGAACAGCGGGTGCCCTACATGGTCTGGGGGTGGGACAGGGTGTGGGAGGGTGCAGGGCCACCCTGTTGCCAAGCCCACATGCCACCAGGACGAAGCCATCTGCCTGTGAGCGATGCTCCCTCGCCCGGCAGGAGCCTTCCCTGGGGACAGAGAGGCTGCAGGCAGGGCTCGGGATGAGCAGAGACCACAAGGCATTCCTGGGGGCAACAGTGGGATGGAAGGGATTGCGGGAGTCCCGGGAGAAATTTTAGGAATTAGGATTGGGGTATCATCCTTCCTACCACAACATCCACCTCAGGCTGTGTGTCCTGAGCCCATGTCCTACTCTGTCTCCCAAATGCTGCCCCAGAAAAAGGATCAGGAAGGAGAAGGGGGAGCACCAGAAACACAGCTCTGCAATTCGGAGCTGACCTGTGGAGCAGAAGGGCGCCCAGCTTGGCCCCCTCCCATGGTGAGCCCAGACAGCTGGGGCTTGGCTCCTTCCCAGCACTTGCACTGGGCTGGGCTGGGTGCATTTGGAAGCATTTCCAGCATTTCCTGAATGGCCCAGACATCAGCAGGGCCAGGCGAGCTGGGGTCACTGCAAGTGATGCTCTGCAGGGTGGTGCAGACACCACTTCAAACAAATATCACTGAGAAAGGGACTGGATTTGAAAGTGCCAGACTGAAATTTGGGGGCCAACAGCTGCAGTGGGAAGCTTTGAAGGGGGTTGGCTCATTGCTGGGGAAAGCACAGAGGCTGTGGATGGAGGACCCTGTGCCCTCAGTGCATCCCACTGGGCAGCTCCAGGGCATGCTCTGTGCTGGGGAGCACTGAGGCTGAGGAGGGAGCACTGGGTTTGTGTTTCTGGGGGAAAGAGAGGATGTTTGCCCCAGAAATCCCAGCGCCAGCTGCTTCAGCACGCCAGGCAGGGACAGGCTCCATGAGCCTCAGTTCATCTGCTGCCTCCCTTGGCCTCAAAGGAGACACTGGCTCTCTGCAGCCACTGAGCCTAGCATAAAGGTCCTCTCTGCAGGAGGAATAAGTTTTGAAAGTATGGAAAATCTTAACCTGCTGGGATAAATCTTTCCTTTCAGGAATATTTCTTTTAGCATCTCCATCCCTCAAGTTCACTTGCCAACAGCTCACTGTCATATTTACCTTTCGACTCAATACATTACAGACCTGACAACTGCAAAATAAGTGGGAAAAATCAATTATCTTTGCTGGGCAATAAGGAAAAATATGGGAAAAGCAACTGAATAATTTATCCAAATCTTTTGGGCGTACCATGAAGCATGGGAATCAAAATCAGATGATCCCACGTTGCAAGTGACGTGATGCAATCCCAATGCCCTGGTCCTCAGCAACATGGAAAGCTGTCAGACAAGGAGCCAAAAGCAAATACAAAATCCTGATATTAATCATACAGATTGAAGGCTGATACTGCTATTGAGTGGAGCAGACAAACCTTATAAGCTTAGATATCTGTCAGGAGAGAAGCAAATAACTTACTGTATGAAACGAGGCCTTTTAGGGAAGGCTGCTCACCCTTGCCAAGGCCATGGGGATAATGAAAATAGGACAGCTAAATTTAACAGCAAAATGACTTGTAAAAGAGTCACTTCTAACCTCCTCTCTGGTGCTTGGAGTCAATAAAATGATTATAGCATGGATTTAGCTAAAATACTTTCTATTGGGAGATAATAGGCATCTGCCATTTTATAATCTCTTGGAGCCATGTTGCAGCTGGAAAGTGGGGTCAGGACTCATCTGGCGTGATGTGGAGAGCAGAAAACCCCAGCCTGGAGCACCAACAGAGGCTGAATATTTTCCTGGGCTGATACCAGCACCCAGCATGGGCACCCACTTGGCCACAGCATCCAAAAGCTTGAAAAAACCACAGCCTAAGCACTTGTGGGCTCACACCTGTCCCACACCCATGCCATCCCTGGGATTGCCACTCCTTAAATTACTTTATCACAGGGAATTTAGTCAGTTTGCAGAGGGATTGCTCACCTGTGTGGCCCTGCGATGGTGCCAAGATGGTGCCAACACACCTGCCTGCCTCTGCCAGGTGGTTTTCGAGGGACAGGGATACAGGGAACAGCCCTGTTTGGGCTGTTCAGTTGTTGTCTGACCTGCCCAGACAGGGCAGCCACTGGCCAGAGATGCTGAGATCATGGGGCTGTGATGCTTCCAGCTGTGGTGCAGGCACTGGGCTGTCCTGAGGCCAGGCTGGGATGTGTTTGCTGTGATAACAAATGCATTACTCCAACACCCAAATGAAAAATAAAGATAGAATTAAGAGGAAGAGTTTTTTATCAGCCTACTGTGTCAGGTGCAGCCTGGGGAGTGTCCCATGACCCTCTGCACCAATTCCTACTCATAGCTGGGACCTTGGGGATGGTTTTATTTTAGGTTCCCACAGACACATACTGGTGTGGTTCTGTCAATACACTCAGCCAACTCTTCTGAATAACTTTTGTACCTTTTGGCTGCTTCCAAGCAGAGCAGGCAGGAGGTGCTGGAGGTACTCTGCTTGGAGCAACGAGGAGCAGGGGCTGCTGGAGGGGCAGTGGCATCTTGAGTTAATCTGCATCAGGTCCTGGGCACTGAGGATGGGTTTGCCCAGGGCACAGAAAGCGCTGAACTGGACTTCACCTGAGCAGCATGAAAACAAAGATCCAAGTGGGACAACACAGGCACACAGAGAGTAGAACTGGAAGTGTTTGAGGCCAGGCTGGATGAGACCTTGAGCAGCCTGGTCTAGTGGAAGGTGCCCCTGACCATGGGAGGGGGTTTGAATGAGATGATCTTTAAGGACTCTTCCAACCCAAACCATTCTGTGATTCTATGACTCTAAAACCAAGCTGAGATAAGAAAAATGAGCCCATCTAGCTCCACTGCCCACGGGAGGGGAAAATGGAGCTAGCAAGAGCAAATGAGGCTCTAAAGCCCCTGTGTTAGTGTCTGAGATTGCAAAGACCTAGGGCCAGGTTTCCCAAACACTCTCCTGGGTCAGCTGGCATTGACAGGCCCCCAGTGCCAGGCTTTGGCCTTATCCAGCATCTCCAGCTCCAGCTGGGCCAGATGCCAAGGGCATTGAGGGCTGGTGACCCTGCAAGTGTATCCCTGGCAGTGTTGTGCAGGGTTAGCACAGGAGTCCATCCATGGCTGTGAAAGGAACCTCTTCCCCCTGCCCATTAAACACACTCAGCCTGTGCTTGGGGCTGAGAGAAAAATGAAACATCTGGCATTTTTGAGGGCGACATTTGGAAATGCAAGTGCATCCTTGCTTTGAGCTGGAACATGAACTGCTGGAGAACAAAAAGGGTTCTGAAAACATCTGCATGGGCCTCAAGCCCACCCACACCAAGGGAAGCACCACTGTGGAAGGCATAAAAGCTACCAGGTATTTCCAGGCTCTCAGACATTGATGGGGGGAAAGAAAATAGAAAAATAATAGATGAAGCTCACTACACAGCCCAGACTCATGCTTGGCAGCATCTAGCATGGAGCTCTGATTTTCAGCACAAAAATGTGTGGCACGCTGCAGATCCATGGATGGGAGGAGTAACACAGAGGCAAGATTTAAAATATGATGGTGGGTGCAGAGGGGACCTGCTGTGGTCGAGGTTGCCAAGAAGAGTCCCTGAGAGCTGGTGGTTTTTCCCAGTAATTTTGGCTTGCCCTCACCAGTTGCAGGAGGCACTTACACTGCAACACTGGCAATGGGAAAAGGAGGGTGAAAAAAACCTGGCAGATGAGAGCAAGCAAGGTCCTACAAAACAGCATGTTCAGTTTTCTTTCCAATTTTAACTTGTCCTTGACCTCTCTTCGCTCCTTCCCAGCAGGGCTGGCTCGGCTCTGTACTTGCCCTGTGCTGCAATGCCCTGGCACAAGATGTTTTTGGTGGTACTCACCCCTCAGAAGTGGCATTTCCATCCCCAGTTGCTGTGACAACACATCTCCCTGGAAATATTTCAGTTTAGCTGATGCCAAAGCAAACATGAACCCGAGGTGCTGGGGGTACCAAAAGGTGCCAGTGGCCCTGTGGCCATTGTGGCCTCCAGAAATGTGGATGCACATCCAGGGTGGAGGCTGGACCTGTGCCACGGGATACAGGGACCCCTGGGGTTTTTTGGTAGGGTAACACCTGTTTTCTGAATCATGCCTTCCAAAGCAAGCACAGTCCCAGGTGATGGTACCCAGGGGTTCAGGTGGGGAATTTGGGGTGGTTTTGCCTTCACCTCTGTGACCTGAGGCAGCATTTCTGGTATGGGGGACTGGCTCGAGGGTCACCTCCAGCCATGGCAGTGGTGCTCCTCTTGTCTGGCATCAGTCTGCACCAGCAAAGAGGAGGCCAAGCAATGGCCCTTTCCCAAAAACAACATGTGCCAGGGTATCCCATGTCCCTCTTTGTAACCCCCTGTGGGTTGCAGAGTTTTTGGCTTACCTTGTGCACCACCTTTGTCCTGCTCACAGCATTGGGAAGGAACATGTGGGGCCACATCCCAGCAAAAAAGCACCAAGGGTAGATGTTGCCATGAACACAGATTTGCTCCAAAACAGGACCTGCAGCTGGATCAGGATTTTCTGCTTCAAACATCACCATGGGCAGAGCTCTGGGTGATGCAGAGATGGAAACACATGGCCCCAAGCCTTGTGCCATCCCTCCAGAGGAGGCTAAGTTATTTAATTATTATTTATTTCACAATTATTTCTTGTAGAGGTTATTGTAGGGCTTATTTAAACCTCCCCCCTCCCAGCTAGGGGAGATAAGGTGATGACTATTCTGGATACAGTCAAAATTAGCACTGTTATTTGTATTCTTGTGCCCCAAGAGTGAATGTAAAAATTCCCAACAGTTGTATTATGCCACTCCACTCATTTTGCCTTTGTCATCCCATGCCAGGCACAAGCTCAGCTCCATTTCTAGTTTGGCTCCTCTGAAAACCCACAAGAAATCCTGATCTGGTGAGCACAAT